ATAGCATTCATTGCTGCAGAAGTTTCCTTCGTGGCTACAAATGTGCTAACAAGAGGTTTGCCTAAGAATGTGGGTCTATTTAAAGAAGCGACAGTAGCTTTGTTAGAGGTAACTTCTAAATCTATTATATTCACAGAAGGCACAGGAGGCTGGCTAGTGCGCTCACATCTCTCTTAGAAATTAAAGGTGTCCTTCATATAATGGATATTGAATGAACTGGATAGAGCACTTTATGACCCCTGAAAAGATTAAAAGATTCCAGTATTTATTCCTGTTCTTTCGTCCAATTTCCTATAATGGAAGCTGGTTTGCTTTAAATGCCTTTTTATTCCTCCTGTCTTTACTTGTTCCTCCACTGAATGTTGGTTCTGTGTTGGTTTGTGTAGAGATCATTTGGGTTAACAAAGGTTAAAAACGGATATTGAGGATGGCTGCTGTCTTTTTTCCTAAATCCAGCAGCAGGCTTTCCTCGGGCCTACTGTTCCCGAGATCACATGAATTCCCATAGAAATGCTTACAGCAGCCACAAGGCATCGGCTACTTATTCCTGTGCTGTGATGTTAACCCTGAAGAAGGCTTCTGCACCACGTCTGTGTTCCCTCTGATTCCATAGTGCTCATTGACCTCTGTGCAGGGCTGAATCATTGACAGTCAGATGCTGACACAAGATGACACAGACGTTGGAGTTTGAATTGTGTTTCGGAGCACAAATTACTTCTGGTCTGTGCTGGCTTTAAAGTTGTTCCTATATATTAACAGTTTGAAGTTTTAGTGATAGCCTCCGAGCCTCAGAGGCTTATTGTTTGAACATTCCTTTTTAAAATATTAATATGAAAGTGCTACAACATGTCTCATGCTGGCCTTTACCATCTGCAGCGTCTATCATCAGCATTATACAGTACTGCTTTGGTTGAATGGCCATTTACTAATTGATGAAAATAAGTATTCTGTTGCATGTGCTCATCTTCTGTATCTTCAGTCTATTGGTTATACTTTGACTGGACTCTACTGTATTAAACCATGCTTGAGAAGGGTAAAAAAAATTCTACATTTCAAATATGCATTGTTGACTATGAGCATTATGGGAACAACCCTTCACAAGGCTTTGGGTTTTTGCTCTCCACTTTTTTTTGCGGTATGTGATGCTTTTTTTTGCTAGATGCTCTTTTAGTTCAGTCACTTGCATGGGTGACAGTGATCAATATTTCCATTTTGTGTTACATGACAAAAAAAACAAAGGACAAGCTGCTATTAACATTAGCTCAGCTTGTTTCTCTGATAACTTCCAGATCCAGACGTCTGATGACTAAAATCCTTAAAAATGTATCGTAAAATGTGGCCTCAAAACTGGATAAAAAGTCAATTTATGACAGCTTCTGGCAGACAGCCACAATGCTGACGCATGCACAGAGGGATATGATGCCATTGACAGGAGACTGGTAAAATCTGAATAAAATTACATATTTCTCTGGGTTCGAACATTGTTTGAAACATTTGGAATAATGTTAGAGCACAACTCAAAAAAACAACAACATAGGTCTGTTGTTTACAGTTTAAAGTGGAAATGTTACATATTATAGATTTATATAACTATACTTTACATAGCCAGTAGTACATTGAGTGAAAACTGAAATAGATCGGACTGTAATGAGATTAGATTTGTGTGACTCTCTGTGTGAGTGTGTTTTGCGTGTTTGATTCTTGCTCATGATAAACTGCTGCTGAACAAGTTCATCTAACATTCAGATGATGGCAGTAGCGTTCTGTGTCAACTCAACAGGGAACATCATCTTCAGATGCCCAGATTACATCTGATTCAGAAGTTTTCACAGGTGAAAGCAGTTTACCTGGGAACAAACACACAAGCCATCATGTGTGTGATTTGAATTATTGTGACACATCAGATGAAAGAAGGGAATGCACACATATTTCAGAAGTGTAAACTGATTTAGATTTTCACTGAGCACAAATTTAAGTCTTCCTAATCAAAAGTATCTTCTAAGAGGGGTGTAAATGTACATTTGCTTGCATGGAAAGTGCATCTGGTCTGTTGCATAGATGTTACAGATCGGTATGAAGTAACAATTAATTTCAGATGGTGATCTAAGATTCATGGCAGCTTTCAGACACTGCAAGAAATGTGAGGAAGGTTAGGTTAAAGATTCCCTCCTGACATTTATTAAGACATATATACAAATAGTCTGCTTGGAACAATAATGTGTGATGTGTTTTTTCCACAAAAAAAGTTTTATGAATATTCTAATTTTGTTTATTTCTAAGTTTCTACATCACACTTTGTATAAGTTGCATACTGGTCCAAAAAACGCTGCACATACATCATTCTGCACAGTGAAGCTCAAACATTCAACTGTAGGAACAAGAAGAAAAACATGTTTTTGAGTGGAGGGGGACTGCAAGGTTTTATTTAATTCAGTATTTCCATATTGTGTAATTGAATTGTAATACATTCAGAGACTTTCTCAGCTGTACCAGTTTAACACTGGCAGTGGAGGAAAAAGTGTCTAGATTATTTTCTCAAGTAAAATTAGCATTGCCAGTATAAAAATACTGTATACCAGTAACACCCTGCATTTACATTTTTACTTAATTTTAATATTTTTCAGCAAAATATACTTAAAGTAATGTATCATTATGAAGAATGGCCTCTTTGAGATTTTATGTTGGACTAGGCAGCAATTGAATATAATTGGTCAAGCTAATGTGAGCTACTTTCTGTTTGGTTGTTTCATCTATGACAATACATCATTGTTTATAAGCTGATCATATGCTTTGTATGTAAAAAAAGGGAAAAAATACATATATAAAAAATACTTATATAGCCAAAAGTATGTGGGCAACCCTCCTCATACATTTGTGTACTTTTGGTCTTGGGACTATTTCGTCATTAATTCATTGGATGTCCACATTACTATTTAAATGTGGCCCATATCAGATTCCAGTGTAAACAGGTCATGGTCTTGAAAATGACCCGCATGACAAATGTCAAGTGACGTAATAGTCACATGCATTCTGATATGACAGTTCTTATTGAGGTCACATTGTGACCTGTATCTGATTTGGACCACATATGAAAGTGGCCCAAAAAAGATCTGATTTTATGTGATTTCTGCTGTTCACACAGTCATCACTTAGACAATGGTGTCCTTCCAACAGTTACAACATGAAAAGCCAGGTCCATAAAGACATGGTTTTCCAAGTTTGGTGTGGAAGAACTTGACCGATCTGAACAGAGTTTTGACCTAAGTGCCATCCAACAGCTTTGGGATGAACTGGAACACCGGCTTTGAGGCAGAAATCAGTAGAGTTGAGAATGTGGAAGTTTGTGTTTGGTGTCCACCTACATTTAGTCATGTTGTGTAAGTGTCAATTCACATGAAAGCTGTTAAACACATATGAAGAGTACAGTAATATTCTCTGAAACGTAGTGACAACCAAAGCATACCAAAGTAAAGTACAACTGTACTCAAGTACAGTACTAAATGTACTATGTGCTGTTCTGGGAAGAGGAGAAACAGAGGAGAGTGGTCAGAGTCCCTGAATGAATCAGATTTTTCACATTAATCTATTTTTTTGTGAGTTTAATATGGTTAGATCTCTATTCTTGTGTAGTATTCAACAATAAATTGTGTTAGGGGTGTCTGAGAGAGCAAAGAGAAAGAGCAAACGAGCAAGCAAACAAGCAGTCATAAGACAAGCGGAGAAAATAAGTTGCACAACTTGGATCAAGATAAATTTATATCTGATTTATATCTGAGTTCCCCTCCTTATTTGACGAGGACAGTGCTGAATGGGAGCTCCTGTTCTCTCGCTTAACACAGTTTCACCCTTGATGAATTCCAAAAAGGGCAAAGGGAATTCAGCTGGAGGTGAGCTGGTCCCAGCAAACACACGAGGCTCCTCGTCACATGCCTCCAATTTACATTCATTAGCACACAATGTGGACTTAAATGAGACAAATGCTCTTTTCCTGTATGGTCAGTACATGGCCACTGACTCCCACCCAGGACCATGTTAAAGGTGGGGGAACTGTAACATTGGACTGAATCACACAACTATAACAGTCAGCAGTTACCACATGTTTGCTTCTACCTCCTTGTGACGTTAGCTGTTACTGACAGACACACAAGTCCTGTCACACTGGTGCAGATGTAAAGGGCTGAAAGTAACAATAATAGCCATTATTTTTTTTAAAGATATTTTTGGGCCTTTTTGTGCCTTTATTTGATAGGACAGTTGCAGATAGACAGGGGGGTAAAGCAAGCAAGGGGCAGCAGGTTGGAATCAAACCAGGGCCACTCCAATAAGGACTACATGACGGGACACACTCTACCAGGTGAGCCCCAGTAATACCCACTGTTGATACGTTTTTTAATTTATGTTTATTAATATCAAAAGAAGGGTGGAAAATTCACATCACAAGTTGTCAGAGCCCGAGATGACAAACCCAACCAACGGTCCAAAACCAAAGTTTACTTTGCATGTTCTGAAACAGAAAAATACCAAAGCTTCATATTTAAGAAGCCATAAACCTGCTCATGTTTTTGAGAAATGACTTCACAATTAAACCCATGAACAAACATGTCTGTCCAAAAAGAGACGAAAACCAGGTGAGTTTGAAAAGGTCTTGCAAAAAAAATAATCTCTCGATAGTTTAGGTGCAAATACATCATCCCATCATTTTAAGCTGACATCTGAGGATATCAAAGTTGCTACAAGGTGTGTGTGTGTGTGTGTGTGTGTGTGTGTGTGTGTGTGTGTGTGTGTGTGTGTAGGTGTGTGTGTATGTGTGTGTAGGTGTGTGTAGGTGTGTGTGTAGGTGTGTGTGTAGGTGTGCGTGAGGGCTATCCAGCTGTGAGAACAGATCCGCCCATTCATCGAAAGCGCCCGGGGGTCGCACAGCCTATAGCTTGAGATGGACCAGCCTGTCGTCCAATGAAAGCGCGTCAGAGCGTGACTCACCCCCTCCCGTTTCCAATGGAAGCGCGACGGAGAGGCGGGCCGCAGGAAGCACACTTGGTTGAATGGCCATTGAAGCAGCGATCAGCGGTAAATATGTTATGATGCCACGCTCCAAACAGACACCGAGCGGATTGTCCGAAGCTGCGGGAGGGCACTCTGGCACCGGGTAGACACTTGATGAAATGCTGCCGCTGAACGGCCGCGGACTGGCTGTGCGCGGAGCCTGCCAGCCAAATCAAACCAGGAGTCGCTCTCTGGGGATTTGAGCAGTGATGGACAGCTGTTGGACATCGATAAGGCGCTGAGGTTAGGGATAAATTGACCGTGCGTTAACATAGACTACACCATGGACCAAGGAGCTGTGTTTTGTGGCTGCCAGAGGAGGAGGAGGAGGAGGAGGAGCGGCTGAGTTTTCTCCTCCGCTTCGATCAGCGCAAGTGTGCGAGAGAATCGTGATGATGCTTTTTGGCCAAACGTGAGGCTCCCATCGCCGTCCGGGCTGCAATGTGTGCTCAGTACAGGTGCATCAAGACTGGACGGGACTGAACACAAGCCGCCAACATGGGATTCACCTTTTTATTCCCCTCCACCTCCGTCTCTTCTGACCACAAACCGTTCACACGAATACAGGAAGCATGTGCGCAGATATAACGGGTTCACAGCGTAATTGATGGTGTTGCGCTATGATCTCTGGGGACTATCTGAGTTGTGTAATGGTTTTATTGCATCTACAGCGCGCGCTGACGTGCAGCCTCTCCATGGATGGTAGTTAATTGGGCCCAATGATGTAGAGCCAACTCCACCTGGATCTAATTCCCTCCTCTCGTGGCGGAACTGGCTCCCCTGTGACTTTTGCGCATGTTCAATTGTTTTTAATTCCCACAGCTTTTCACCACTCCTGGTTATTGCTTTGGGTTATATCACCTCGGGTTTTATAGATTTTCGAATGAATGTTTGCCTCTAAAAGTGGGAGATTAAGCTGGTGGCAGTTTGTACTTTTTAGATTTAAAGCGCCCAGGCTGTTTCAGCGGTGACCAACTATGGGGAATTCAACTTGTGACAGACATTTAATGCGGCTCATCTTTGGGACTAAATAGTTTCCTGACATTAAATTTCATCTATACAAAACTTTCACCGCAGTGTTTGTTTGTTTAGGCACATTTCCGTTGTTGCGTGCCATTCTTCACTATGTCCAGATCAAACAGTGTCAGCCCACCCGGAGTCGGTGCGCCCGGGTTGAGGGGAGGGACCGAGCACAGATCAGCTTGGGGCGAGTCTGAGTCCGTGGCCAACGGGTGCCCATACTCGGCTAGATCCCCGCGCAAGAAGCTCACCCGGACCAACAGTCGGTGGAGGGACGAGGATGATCTGGAACACCGGCCGCCCGGGCGAGCCTCCACGACCGTCAGCAGGGTCAGCTTCAGGTCCAGGTCTGCTTGGCAGGACCATGGCGAGGAGAGCCGAGACAACAAGCGCGCATCCCCTAAACGTCCAGACGGCGAGGTGAGACCCAAGTCTGTGGAGCTGGGTCTGGAGGAGCGGAGAGCCAAGCCGAGGACCGACGAGGAGGAGGTCATGCCCGAAGTGAACTTTTCTTTAGTTGCGTGCTGCACCAGCGTCATGCACATTTTCAAATCCAAGAAATTCCAGTCGGAAAAGTTGGAGCGGCTCTACCAGCGCTACTTTTTCCGCCTCAACCAGAGCAGTTTGACTATGCTCATGGCAGTGCTGGTGCTGGTCTTCACGGTCATGCTGGGCTTCCACTGCTCCGGTGGGACAGCAAAGCCGAGCGTAACTTATGTGGTGGTATTTTCCGTGGCCATCTTCCTCACACTCATACTTATGGTGGTCTGCAACAGAAACGGCTTTCACCAGGACCATATGTGGATTGTGTGCTACGTGGTCATCCTGTTGGTGCTGGTGATCCAGGTGATCGGAGTGTTGCTCGTGCAGCCCAGAAGTGCCTCAGAGGGGATCTGGTGGACCGTGTTCTTCATCCATGTCATCTACACTCTGCTGCCCGTCAGGATGCGCGCCGCAGTCATCACTGGAGTTATTCTTTCCGCCATCCACGTGGCCGTTTCTTGGATGTTAAACGGCATGGACAGCTTTCTGTGGAAACAGGTATGTGGAGGAATGTGTTTTGCTTTTGAGGTCTTATAATAATGTGCGCAGGGAGCCGGGATTCCACGCCTATACTGTGCGCAATAACGCACAACAGAACATGGGCATTTCCATTAAAGCCTTCTGGTGCTAAACTTTTTTTTTTCTCTCGCCGTCAAACAGGATAACAAGCAGTTGTTTCAGGTAGTGGGTTGATAAGTTGCCTGTGCTATAGCAGCGGGTCCACTGGGCAGTGCAGAGTTCTGTCTAGAAAAAGTTAATCACAGCAGTGGCATGCACAGACTGTCTAAGGGTCCGGAGAGAAAATGGAAAAGGGGGCACCACCAACTCATGCAAGGTCAATCCTGTACAACAAAGTGCAAACAATGAATGTATTCAGATGTGTATGATTCATCACATCAAAATTACAAAGATGCACAAAAGATAAGAGAAATTGGGGAGGCAGGGATGCAGCCACTAGGAGACTATATGACTTGTTTTGAGTGTGGCCATTCAAAACAAGTTTAAATACTTCAGCCTTCAGATGTGGTCTGACCTAGATCATTTGAAGCATATGAGGCCCAAAGTTTTGTTTTTGACCGAAGGTTATTGTACTAACCAAACAGCTTTAAGGCCAACCGGAGGGTAGTGCACTTTGGCTGATCAGAGTCATTTGGATTAATTTAAGAGACAACTGGGCAGATCAGAGGGACATTAAGGGGATATTTGGGCAAAAATTATGCTTAGAGTCCCATCTGATCTAAATGACTCTTGGGTTTTATTTAATAAGCGGTATTATAAGGAATTTAAAGATCCCCTCCAGACATAAGTAAGGCATATATACAAATAGTCTGCTTGGCACAATAATGTGTATCTGATGTATCTGAAGTTTTTCTTCAGTAAAAAAAGTATAATTTCTACATTTAAATTCTTAAAAACCCATCTACTGCTTCTACCTTGTTAAAAATAACCCAGAATCTATAAATATGCAAATTGTGTTCATTTCTAAAGTTTTTGTCTCCTATTTCACTTTCTGTGTATTTGTGTATGGTGACTTCAAGTTGCTACTTCGCACTTAATAAATTGCATACTGGACCAGGTTGACTTCTAAACTATTTGTGAAGTCACAAATTATGCTTGTAGGCCCCACCCCTTAAAAGCAGATTTTCACTGAGCACAGAGAAACTTTCCACTTTCAGCCGATGAATGTGAAAACATCCTTCTAGTGTCAAACTCTGCACATACATCATTCTGCACAGTGAAGCTCAAACGTCACACTGTAGGAACCAGAAGAAAAACAGACTGAGTGGAGGGGGGACTTTAAGTACAAAAAGAAGAAACAACTAAGTGATACTGTTTTTCATTTTATTTCCGGTAACTTCTTGTACTGCTACAGACTGTTTCGTCAACAGACATTTAATAACTTATTTGACAAATTGAGCTTGTGATTGGTAGACAAAGACTTTGCTATGGGATATAGCTGCTGGTTGCCACGGAAACTATATCAGCTGCCTTGTTGGGCCTCAGGCTGCAGACAACTATAGGTTTGTTTAGCACAAGCACATCTATACAAACTACAGTAAGATTCTCTTGTACACACAGCGTTGGTTTAAGCTTTCTATTTCCTTTGTCTTGCTAAGTCTTTGTCCCATTTGTTTAACACAAGGGACAGTGTGCAGCTAAATATTAGACAAATTATCAGAAAAAGAAATGTGACTACAGGTGAAGCTTATCACAAAGGCTGTGACTTTCTTATTTTAGACTCTTATTTGGAAGAATTTTGTCAATTAAAATCTTTAATCAGTTATATTATCTGCTGCTGCATCTCATTGTGATTCATAATGGATCAGCGTTTCACTGTAGTCACACATTGTACCTCTTAGTTCATTGGGGGATGAATAGTAATTGTTAATGTTTATATGACATTTGCAGTTTTATTTTTAACTGGGTTTATTCAATATCTGTGTAGCGGGTCTGACTCTGCGTCGTGTTGTGTGGAAGGCAAGGACACACTTCCCAGGACTGTCCTTGAGCAATTTATTCACCAACCAACGGCAACAGCAACTCTAGTTGTGAAAGAACAAAACATTCACAGGGTTTCTCTTGCGAAAATACTCTCACCAGTGCCTTCCCAAGAAAAGTCCCGACACAGAGTATGCAGAGAATAAAATGCAAATTGTATAAATGAATCCAACGTACTGTATTTTCTATCAGAGAAATGAAAAATAGCCATGCATTAAACCAACATGCGTATAGTTGTTAAGAAACAAAAGATTCACAGGGTTTCTCTTGTGTACCTCAGCGCCTGTGTAACACCATGAGAAAAGTCACCAAATGCTCCATGCTAGCGAACACAGTCTTAACAACACACTCTTGCTTTCCCCCAAATTAGATTTATGCATGAAAAGAAATAAAATAAACATAAACAGAGAATGCGTTCCTTCCCAAGAAAATTCCAGACACAAAGAGGAAGTAAAGTCAGCAGAAGGGCAGTCTGTAAAATAAAATGCTTGGTACTAACTAATACTTTGGATGTAAAACCCATATACTATCAACACAATTTCATAAGAACTTATCATATCATCATATTGACATATCAACACGTAAGGAACCTTTGAAACATGATAGTGGACATGCTAACCCACATACTAAATTAAATTAAAGTCTGTGCTTCAATCCATGTAAAATTCTACCAAAATGGACAATTCCCTGTTTATAATAATATCACACTACCACACATTCAGCTAATATAAATCCTGTTATTAATGTTGGCCTTAGAGCGCGTTTCTAACTAGGGGTACGTGTCATATTTTGGACTAATTATTTTATTATAAACTGAAAAGCAAACTGCAGGTTAAATGTCTGAGATCAAAGCTGTTCTAATGAAGAAAAGGGTGTTTGCTCCTAGCATTGGAAAGACTGATTTCAGGTTGTTTGTTTTACTTCATCTGGACATGTAATAAGCCTACAGTGGCTCGTTTCAGAGGGATATTGTTTTAATGTGCTGCTGAGTCTATGTGTTCCTCATAAAATCCAAATGCCTCAGGTTGCATTTTTACAACATCAATATTACTTTCAAAACAATTCTCCAATGCTGGTGGATTTAGTCTGTAATGAAGGCGCTTACACAAATGGGTTTAATTTTCCACCATTACTTAAAGGTACACTAAATTGCATCGTCCACTGAGGTCTACAACTCAGTATTATTAACCCCAAACTGTGCTCTCTGGCATGTGTTTCTTTGTGTGTGTGTGTGTGTGTGTGTGTGTGTGTGTGTGTTGTTGTGACTCTGTAGCTCCTCTCTCCCACCACATTGTTTTGGCTTTTCACTCAATTAACCGTTTTTATCAGACCTTTTGCTGCTCATAAACATTTTGTCCAACAACACAGCTCTTCTAGAGTAAGTACTTCTATAAAGAATGAATATGGACATATTTGCCCGTTGTTAATGGCTTTTGCATCCAAGGACCTCCCTGAAATTAGGTGGTTTAACTCGAAAGGTTAAACCACCAAGTTTATCTTTTGATTATATGGAGTATTTGGAGATGCTTGTCCATGTGCTTTGTTGTACTTTTGGTCTGGGGCTGTTTTTCAGTGTTTCAGGCCCCTTTGTTCCATTGAAGCAAAATCTTAATGCTACAGTATACAAAGATATTTTGGACAACAGTGAACTTCCAACTATGTGGCAACAGTTTGGGGAAGGCCCTTCCTGTTTCAAAGTGGCCCCTACGCACAAAGCATAGAGAAGTCCATAGAGAAATGTTTTTTCCCAGTTTGTTGTGGACCCTTACAACACCTATTGGGATGAATTGGAAGGCAGTCTGCAAGCCAGGCCTTATCAGAAGCAGTTTGTCTTTCAGCAGCCCCCTTTTCAATATTATTGTATTTAATTATATCATTTAATACATGCATCTGGCTCATGTGTGATCAGGCTAGTAACAGATACTTTGAGATGACACACAGCATGTCTTGTCTTTGTCTTTGTATCTTTATTACCTAAACTGTGAACACCAGTCAGCCATATTATCATGGCACCTGTCGGTGGGTGGAATATATTAGGCAGAAAGCGAACATTTTGTCCTCAGAGTTGATGTTAGAAGCAGTAAAAATGGGCTGCGTGAGGATTTGAGCGACTTTGACAAAGGCCAGATTGCGTGACGACTGGGTCAGAGCATCTCCAAAACTGCAGCTCTTGTGGGGTGTTCCCGGTCTGCAGTGGTCAGTACCTGTCAAAAGTGGTGCAAGGAAGGAAAAGCAGTAAACCGGAGACAGGGTCATGGCTCACTGGGGGAGTGTAGGCTGGCTCGTGTGGTCCAATCCAACAGACGAGCTGCTGTATTATCCTTCCTTGTCCTGCTACGTGTAGAGAAGAGTGTAGAGAAGTTACATGAGCAAACTAATTTAGCTCTACGTATGTAAATATAAGTCAGTAGGATCCGTTACCACGCTGGCTAGAGTGGCAACGGATTCTCATTTGTCAGCCATGAGGGAGATGAAATGTAACGTGCAGCTGCATCCAGTGGAAATTAGGGGTATTGATCCTCTTACTGAATGGAGTAAAACTCTGTAGCAAGGTTCCAAGATATGGTGGCAAGCCTCTCCAGACGAATGGAGACTGTCAGCAGAATAATGTATAACGAATACAACGTTCAGGTCTCAATAATTTGGTCATAAATAGTATGTATGCCTTAAAGAGGCTGGTACATAAGCTATTGAACAAAGACAATGTGCTCCAGAAATTAGAGAAAGAAAATGTTCCACACTATATTTGGGTCATCAGAAGTGTATCCAACTTTAGAAAGAGAACACAAAGTTGCACACCTTTCCAAAACCCAATGAAAGTACATCAACGACTACTACTACTTAGTCAGTCATTATGAATGTGCAAAGGACGTGCTGAACACCAGAAAGGATGTAGGATTTCACTTTTTTCATACTTTTGTTTCTTTTAGGAATCTAATGTTTGGTTGTGTAACCAGGCTGATAGTTTAGTTTTTCTGTGTGAATGGCATGTGACCCTG